AACTATATGCTACCTACAGGAGATTCACCTCACTTTTAAGGGTACACATAAACTCAAAGTGAAGGGATAAAAGAAGATTTTCCACAAAAATGGAAACCAAAAGAGGGCAGCGGTAGCTATACTTGATGTTTTTATTTAAGGATTTAGGCTAGAATGATGAGGGCAGGAAAAGTCTTGAGAAACATCCCCAGGAAATGCAGACACATATGACCCCTTCTCATCTGTCCTCCTCTGCAACGTCTTTTACTGACAGTATTCCAATTACTCTTTCCTCTAGTCTTTATGTAGTCCAGGACCTAAATCAGAAAGTAATTATACATCTGTTTTAAAAAAAAAATAGTCCTGGGTACCACCCCAAAGGGATCTGATGCCAGTTTGGATCTCAGGAATCCGTCTAAACATCCAGTCAGGGTACCAGACAGATTGTAAGAATATATGTTTGATGTTCTTGCCAAAACCCAAAATTCCAGGTTCAGGTACCTGATGCTCAGCTATGTCAAACATGAAACAGCGGGGCTTGGAGACAGAGGAAGGTTTATTCAAATTGGCTAAAGCAAGAAGATGGACGAGCCCAAATTTCTCAGATCCATTTTACCGTGGAAACAGAAGGCACTAACTCTGTCCCGTGGAATTGCCTAACATCTCACTGCCCTGGTATTTCAGAGTCAGTTTGTGGGCATGATGTATTCCAGGCTCTGTAATGCTTTATCTAGGATATTGTTTCCCTCCACCCCCTTTTAATAACATATTCTTTTTTTGTTTTTGTTTTTGTTTTGACCGGTAAGGAGATGCAACCCTTGGCACGGTGTGCTCTGCACCATGCTCAGCCAGTGAGCGCACCGGCCATCCCCATACAGGATCCGAACCTGCGGCCTTGGCGCTCCCTGCACCGCACTCTCCCGAGTGAGCCGCAGGGCCGGCCCAAATAACATATTCTTTTAAGGTTCGTTATATCAAAATACACAACACACTCTTCCCTCCTTGTGAGTATTAACTTCCTCTCATTTACAGATGACACTTAGATCGTGAATTTCTTCCCTACTCCAATTTTTCCCTCAGCATATGCCAATCAGTCTTTCCTCTCATGACCTGAGTATCTCACTCATTATAGCAATAATTTTGGCTTTGTTGTCACCCCAAACTCCACAATATATTAAATTACTAATTTAAGCCTCAGAAACATATTATACAAAGCCTAAGGTGAGAAATTGTGCAAGTGCTATCCCCATTTCTTTAAAATCTCACCAGATTGCAGCAATCCTCTCCCTTCTGCCTCTTACAGTAAATAAAATTCTTTCCCTATTGAATGTTGATATTCCCACAATTGCCCTAGACCTCTTCCTGTTCAATTCCAGGCTATCAGTTTTCATTTATTATATCAATTCCTCAGATTTTTACTCAATAATGGACTCTTCCCACAAGTGTTTAAACTTACTTAGATGCTAAAATCTTATGTTACAAAAATGCAACTGCCCCTGCAACACAATATTGTTCAACTATAATCAGCAACAATTTATTGTATGTTCTCAAATGGCTCGAAGAGAGGAGCTCAAATGTTCTCGTCACAAAGAAATGATAAATGTTTGCAATAATGAATATGCTAATTACTCTGATTTGATTATTGTGATGCTGGAGGAAGGGTGGGGAGGCCCAATAGTTGGTCTCAACCCACCCTGTCTACTTACCAGGTTCTTGACTCTGCCACAGGAAAGAATTCAAGAGCAGAGTCACAATACAGAGTGAGAACAGGTTTAACATAACAAATAAGAGATACAGATTTCACAAAGAGAGTGAAGCAAAGCTCCACAGACTGAGCAGTTCCCCCTCCAAGTTTAACACAAAAGTAAGAAATGCATACTTAAGTTCAGTACACAGTGCAGGCTGGCTCAAGAGAGTGAGCAGCCACATGCTCAAAGCAAGTTTGGTACAAAATAAAGCATCCATACCTCAGCCAGTGAAGTGCACATTAGCCCCAGGAAAGTGATTAGGCTTGGGGTGGTTCCCAGTTATGTAACACAGTCTTGCACCTGCTCAGTTGGTATCTTTTTAGAGTATTTCCATTGGTCAAATCCTATCACATGCATCAGACATATTCAAAAACATTCTTTGCTCTTTAGCATCTCTAGTGGAAGGTCATTCAAAGGATAAACCACCTTCCACTGAGCATGCTTGGCTACTGGGGTTATATGACTCTTCTCTATGGAGCATGCCCAGCCACTGTATTTTCATAAGCCAGACTCTGAGGTCTCAATTTCCGTTTGTCGGTGCTGAAAATAAGTCTAACTAGCAACAGTAACTCTTCCCTAAGGGAGCGCCCATGGAGGGTTCTGAGATTTCAGGCAGTGGCTTGAAACTCAGAGGCATGTCCTGAAACCCAACCCAGGGAAACTGAGAACCTCCTATATCAATCACGTATTGTATATATGTATTGAAATACAACTCTGTACTCCATAAATATGTACCATCAATCTGTGTCAACTAAAAATAAATTTAAAAATTATATTTCTCAGGATAATTGTTTGAACACACAATGGCTTCCATTTCCTTACAAGCCATTCCCTGCCTCACCATCACCAGTGTAACATGCAGTGCCCCGCTGCCAAAAATACTGTCCTTCCCAGGAACAACAGTAACTCTGTGTTGAGAAGTTTGGTGAAAACCTCTTCATCCTCGCCTTCCATTCTGACTGCCTCTTTCTTCTCAGATCACTCTCATTCCATAGAGAAGCCTGTGTAACCACCTTATAAATGTTTCCCCAACTCTGTGGTCATTCCTTCTTGCTCTTTTTGGGAGGACCCCTCTTTCATTAATTAAGTTTGTTTTAAATTCCTTTGTGCTCTGTTATTGATTCTTATTTTTTTTCTTTGCTCTCTCTCCTTGGGAAATCCAATCTAATCTTATGTTTTCAAATATCATCTATATGTTAAAAACTTCCAAATTTTTAACTTTTGGCTAGGCCCTTCCTCTGAGCTCCGGATCCATACATCCAAATGATCTTTTGGCATTATTTCTTAAAGTCCCTCATATATGGAACTTTTCTCCCCATATGCAGAGCCCAGCACCTACCAAGTATTAAACATTAGGAAGAAGTTTTCAGTAAGAGAACTGAAGCCTGTTTAAATATAAGGCACAATTAATATACTAATCAGAGATGAACATTTGCAAGGTAAGATATTGGATTGTTTTTTGATATTCAACCAAAAAGCCTAGACCAATGATGTTGTTCTCTCTTGCACACCACTTTCTGCCCAGTGTCAGATTCCGATGCATCCCTTTCTTTCTACCCAACATTGCACCAGATGGATCCAAGGACTAATGACAGCTCTCACAGGCCAAATCCCAGAAGAGAGAGAGAATGAGACGGCTGGAAAAGGAGGGTAAAAGAACCCAAGGACATGTAGTGGGAGTAAATTACCTGAGCTAGAAGATCAAAATGCACCTACCCCTGAAGCTCAGAGGTCTATGAAGAACATATCCCAAGTCTATGAAGAGGCTACAAACAGGCACCACTACCCAGGAATGAGCGGGTGAGACCAGAATTTTCACACCTGACCTCACTATCTGTGAGGCATTTACTATAGGGCTTACATCCACAAACCTAAAATCAAGCCAACTTCATCTCCAATATGGGCTACTGGAATGACCCCCAACCACTCTTGATCTCTTTCAGTCTTTTCTCTAAACATCAATGAGATTTGCAAATACAAAATATATTGTCATTTCCTAATTAGCACCCTTTGATAATCAATCATTTCACTTAGTGCAAAACCCATAAACCCTACAGGGCTTTTAATGACCTATATGGACAAGCTCCTGCCTTTCTCTTCAGACTCATCTCCTTCGTCCATCTCCCCCATTCCTCAGCCTTCTCTTGACATTTACTCCAGACCACTCTCTCCATTCCTGTTCTCCTACTCCTTGCAGTGTAGCTTAAAGTACTATATAAACTTAGTGAGCTTTCCCAGCCCTCTACATTGATTCAAACTTACTGTTCTATGTGCATGCACCAGCTTGTGCTTTATCACTTCAGAGTGATCATAGAAAATAGAAATAACCATTTAATTATTTATTTATGATTCATTACATATTTCTCTTCCCTTCCTGACTGGAAGTTCCATTAAGGCAAAGTCTTCCGTGGCCCTTTCTATGTTACTGTGTCCTCGAAGAACTCAGACTGCATCACGAGGCCTGGTGCATATCAGGAGATTAAATATATGTGAAATTAATGAATGGAAGAGTGGGCAGGACTAGTAGAGATCTTATAAATATTAGCTGTAAAAGGAAATCCTAAAGTGATTTAAGCATTTTAGTGTACATTCTTTGAATCCCAAGGCTCATGATAGCATGTAATACTTTGGATCTTTTCTTCCCTTCTTCTTTTCCTTCCTTCCTTCCTTCTTTTATTTTCTTACCTAGAATTTCATTAAGCAGACAAAAAAAGATTAAAGTCAAAGTTATTGTAGATAAAGGTTTGACACTTCAAAACTCCTTGTTTTTTATTTATTTATTTATTGTCACTAGGAGATAATGTGGGACAACACACATTTCAAATATACTTTTTTCTTTTTTCATTTATTCTTTGTACATCTATTTAATAAGCACTAATGGTACCCACAAGGTGTTAGGTCTACAAGACCAGTCTCTTCACAGTACTAAACAGATGCAGAACTTTCTGTATATAAGGCTATAAAAACAAACAAACAAAAATACTATTTTAGAATCTGGAAGTCATGTATGTGTAATTACCATGCACTGAAATTGTACAGATTCTCATCAAAAACCAGAAGACAGTGTCTAATAACAAAATTGCCCCCAAAATGGCTTGGTGGAGGCAATTTATCTTCTGACTGGTTATTGGCATGAAACCATTAAGAAGCTTTTTCACTGTGGTTTGAAGAATTCAATGCAGTACTGACAATGTCATTCAGGTTTGAAGGCTGTGAACCTAGCATTCACTTACCCCTGTACTTAATCCACTGTGTGTCCTGCACAGATTTTCCTTACCTAATAAAGAAATTTCCTTTTAGTCTTACTCCATAGGTGCCACACTTCCTTCTCATGACTTTTTTAACAGCTTGTTTGAAGTCTTTGTTCCTCAAGCTGTAGATAAATGGGTTCAGCAGTGGGGTGACCACGGTATAGAAGACAGAAATGATCTTGTTGATTTCAGGTGACAGATGAGCATTGGGGCGCACATACATAGAGATCATAGTCCCATAGTAAATAGTGACAACAGCCAGATGGGAGCCACATGTAGAAAAGGTCTTCATCCGTCCAGAAGCTGAGGAAATTCTCAGTATGGAGGACACAATAAAAACATAGGACACAAGTGTCAGAAAGAAACAAAGGCACAGCACAACAACTGAAAGGATGAAGATGGCCATTTCAGTGGTATAAACATTGGAACATGAAAGCAGCATGAGTGGAGGGAGGTCACAGAAAAAATGGTTGATCTGGTTGGGCCCACAGAAATCCAACTTGGAAATCATCAGGGAGGGCAGAAAGCCTGTGCCCACCCCTGTCAACCAGGAGATTGCCACCAACTTGGTGCAGATTTCAGGACTCATGAGGAAAGAGTAGTGGAGTGGGCTGCAGATGGCCAGATATCGGTCATAAGCCATCACGGCCAGGAGAAAACATTCAGTAGCCCCAAAGAACACAAAGAAGTATAGCTGTGCCATACAGGCGGAGAAGGAGATGGCTTGGCCCTGGGAGAGCAGGTTGGCTAGGAGAAGGGGCACAGTGGTGGATGTGTACCAGATCTCCAGAAAGGAGAGGTGTTTGAGGAATGTGTACATTGTTGAGTGCAGTCACTGGTCCTGGCTCACCACTGTGATGATAACAACATTCCCCGTGATGGTGAGGAAGTAGATGACCAGGAAAATGGCAAAGAGTAGGATCTGCCACTGAAGAAGGTTCTGGAATCATAACAGTTGAAACTCAGTGACAATGGACACATTTTGGTGCTCCATTGCCTGTGGTGGGGGGTGGTGGAAAATATTTTGGAAAAGCACAGTACACAAGGCATAACAATATTTAGAACTACCTGTGTTTGGAACTTCAGGAATTAATTTTTTTTCTAATAGTTTAGAGTTTTATGTGTGGCTCTTTAGAAGGGCAAATGTATAATTCCAGCTCTTTTCTGTAAGAACACATTTTGAAATCACAAGCTGATAGTGAAGATTAGATCCTGAAAAGAGACTCAAGTTTTGTGTGTTGGAATTGTGTAAAATCTAGAAGTCTCAATCCAAAAAAAAAAAAGAAAAAAAGAACTCTGATCTAAGTGCGCTCACCTGAAAAGAAAAAGCAAAAAAATTTAATTATTTGAGGTGATAGATAAGTTAATTAGATCGATTGTGATGATTTCACAGTATATACATATATCAGAACATCAAGTTGTACACCTTAAATATATACAATATTTATTTGTCAATTATACCTCAGTAAAGTTATAAACAAACCTCAGAAACTAACAATAACAACAAAGCTCGTTAAAAGATCACACACATATGGGATCAAATGTCTTTCTTTTCTCATATATGGATTTTGTCTGGAAAAGAGAACAGACACTCGCATCTTCTATGACATTCTGAGAAAGTTTATTCATTCTTCTCTCAAACAATATTTATCAATGCCTGCTATGTGTGTGTGTGTGTGTGTGTGTGTGCGCGTGAAGCCTTGTGCTGAGCTAACCTGTATCTTATCCACCAGTGTCCTTTCATGCCCAGTTAGATACTGTACTTGTGTTCAGCCACTGCAATCACTTCCTCATGTACACCTCTAATTCCTTTCATTTAATTCATTGTCTAACACAGTTCTGGATAAAGTCACTGTCAACCTACCATATGTGAGCTTCATGCAATGGAGGGGGTGAGACACAACACATGATATTGCCACTTTAAAATTCCTAACCAATAAACTTGTGTATTCTTAGTGCTACAGAGCAATCATTCTCCATTTCCCTCATATACTCACTTTTCCAGTCTGCTAAGTGACTACTTCACCCCTCATATACTCACTTTTCCAGTCTCCTAAGTGACTATTTCATTTATGCTCTTCTCTTTCCAATCTTTCAAAACATCCTTGTCTATCTGTACCTTCAACAAGAAACCTATTTTACTAAATAAAACTGAAATCTTCCAATGGGAATATCTGCAAAATCCCCCAAATATCACCTTTCGTTCCGGTGCATGCACTTCCTCCATCTCCCTCTGAATAAAAGTCTGTGCACACCCCCGTGGGCATGAGGTGCCACTGGAAGGTATTGCAGGTGTCACACCATCGTCATCTGCTGAATCATCAAGAGCCCTCCTTGTGCTGGTCATTTCCTCAGCAGGCCTACTTACTTTTTTTTATCTCTCTTTTAAAAAGACAAAAAGGAATGTCTTGATGATATCCTGTTCTCCATTAAATGCTGCCTGTATTGTCTGCTCACTCTTTTCTTTCCTTTTTCCCTTTGTGAAAGCCTCTGTTTCAGCTCCCCTATTCCTCTGCTTCCTATTTCTTCTGAATCCAAAGCAATCAGGGTTTTTTTCTGGCTACTACCACAAACAGCTCTGCCATGTTGTCCTCACCCTCCAATCATGCATCCTCATTCCTAATTGTCATGATCTGTCAGCAGCATCCACAGTTGTTCTGTCCCTCTTCTGGGATGACTCTAGTCACCTGATATCCATGATCTACAGATCTGGATTTTCCGGGTTATATAACTTCAAGATTGAGTACCTCAATCTACCTCACTTCCTTTCTGGTTTCAGGCAGTCTTTTGACTTTAAATGCCATCATTTAGCTCTCAACCCTCAAATTTATATATCAAGCTTGAATATAAGCTTTCTGTAAACCACAGCCCTATTTGAAAAGCACTCCCATGTCTAAGCAGCCTCTGAAATTTAAGTGACCTAACCTACCTAACCAGTGTCACTGATATACTCAGCCTAACAAGCGCAGTACCTCCATCTATTTAATGGCCACTCCATCCTCCTATTTGCTCAATTCTTGTTTCTGTTAGACCCAATATCTGATTTTTCAGTGAAGTCGGCTGACTCCACCTGAGAATGTAAGCACACTCTGATCTGATTACTACATCACCATTCACTAACATCCCGTGCTCCCTGGAAAGAGCATCACTACCTCTCACCAAGATTGTTGCAACAGTCTCCTTGCATCTTCCATTTCCACACTGCCTGCTCAATAAAGCAGCCAAAGTTAAATTCTTTGAACATGCAATAGCTTACACAGGGAACATGAAAGTACTATGAATTGTTCCTGTAAAGGAATAAAACACTATGACCAAACAATCACTTTATGCACCTATTAGGAATCAACTGGTGTGTTAATTTGGCTGTTTTTGTTTTTCATCTCTGTTGTAGTTTACCATTTTTGCTGTGTTCTGTTTTCTCCTCTCAGACTTGGGCAAATCACTGGGAATATTATCTCCATGTGATCATGAAATGTTTACATTGAGTGAAATTGATATCTTAGTAAATCTATGCATTGGCTACCAAAACCACAATATTGAATATATTGTTGGAAATAAATTGTAATGTAGGGGGGGCATAGAATATAAGTAGTAAAATTGTAGAAAAATATAACCTTAATGTACGCAGTCTTGTAACAATGCATAAGCAAAGCAGTTTTTCTCAGGGGCCAGAGCAAGGGTCAGGCCCGAGCACACTAAACAATGCATAAGCAACGCAGCTTATCAGGGGCCGTGACAAGGGTCAGGCCCGAGTACACTAAACATTAATAGCCCCCACCGGTTCCAGGAAATAGCTGGTTCAAAGCCAGGCCCCGGGGAAGGTAAACAATTGAGAAATGCACTAAAGGGGTGCCAGCCTGCTAAAACCCACCTGTAAACCCAAAAGGCGCCAGCTGAAGCCCACCT